GAATGATTCAATTTATTACTACACATAGAAACTCAAGTTCAGATAATATTAGTTAGAGAATGAAATTTTCCATAGGACAATCCCTCCTGTCAGGAGGAAAATGAACCAACCTGGCAAAGATGTTGACGTATCCCAGTGAAACAAAAAAAACAATTGCATACTTATTTTTGCATTTTTTCACCTTCAGATGCATAGATGGGGTATGTTATGACATATTTAATATTAGTGTCAATGCTTTAATGTTTCATGGAGCACCTGTTAGGGAGAGCAGCTGAGCAGAAATCCAGTGCATATCACAGGTTCCTTGGGATCCCCATGACACTGCTGCCTTTGCTGAGGAGTAAAACCAAAGGTTATGGCAAAGTGTTTCAGGTGCTGCTCACAGAGGAGGAAAGTCCACGATTCCCACCCCTCCCAGAGTCTGCACATCTGCTTTCCTATTATGCTGGAACATGGCACTCCAGGAGGAAAGGCTGGAAAAGCCAGGCAGCAGATGATCAAAAACTGGTTATTGCAGCACATAAAACCAGGGCACTATAACTCCTTCAAAAGACAACTCAAACCTTGGTGATTTGTTTCCCTCCAAAGCACTAAGCCTTCTTTGGACTGTATTTATTTTTATCCTAAAGAAAGGGACACCTAATATTCCAGATAAGATCCAAGGACACCAGAGGAGGCAGCCATACACAATTGATTTTCCTGCTCCCTTACATTCAGTGCTGCTCCAATGGCAGGTACTGATACAAGTTTAAAAATGTTCTTGGAACTAATCTTCAGCCCACTTTTAACTTAAATAAATCCAAAAGGCAATATTTCACTATTTGTAAAGGCCCCAGGAAGCAGAGGGTCTGTGCCACCCCTTGAAGGTGACAATGAACTGTAGATGTAGCATGGAATTGAAAGGCAAAGCATCCATCCCTTTTCCTCTTGCATTCCCTGCTCACATTTCTTGCATGTTTTTCTTGCTTCCTTTTCTCCTGCTCAGGGTTTTGAACAGAGCCTCTTTTAACAGAGGCTGTAATATAAAGATGTAGGCCAGAAAGGAAAGTATTTTGTTCAGTCCTAGTTGTGGAAGAAAAGACAAAGGGAAGAAGATACAGAGTTAGCTGTGACAAAACAAAAATATTTCCACAGATGATGGGTTAAAACCACAATTTTTTGCAGGGGGGAAGAATGTTTCTGGACTTTTTATGTGGATTTTGGTTTGGTTTAGGGATTTTGCTGGGTTTTTTTTATTATTATGGGGTTTTTCCTGGTGGTCATAAAGTCTGTAGCATTTCGAGATAAATGTGCAGCAAAGAGATTGTGTTTCTTGGGTGTGCATTTTTACTGACTTTGCTTATGTTCCACCTTTCAAAGAGCAGAACTGGGACTTTTTTTGTGGTCACAGGACCAAGTTATACAGAGCTACCAGAGGATACCCAGATCTTACTGAGAAATGAAGTATTGAATACATCAGCAGCCTATGCCCATGTGGATGTCTTGCATCAAGATAAAGAGAGAGAAAAATGCTGCTGGAGAATTCTGTGCACAAAGCTCTGTGAAGCAAGAATTAAAAGTAATGAGATTAAATAGAAAATAACTACATCAGGAATATGTTAATAAATTAATTAAAGCCTACCAAAGTTGAAGTGTTCCATAATTAAGATTGAAGCCCATGAGCGTGCACTCTTCTGTCTGGGGATTTTGCCATGGATAATATTACCTGTTTGGAAATGATTCTAAATCTGTGAGGAAAATGAGGTCAACTGAGATTGTGGCCTGATCATTAACTTGTATGATTTTGGGCTTTCCTGTTTTCTCAGACCAGCTTTATGGATGATTTTATATGTTTTCTCTACTGCAGTCTCATTTCTAGCACATAAGATAAATGTGAATATTGATCTTTTTTGAAAAGAGGAGGTCAAGATTTAGTGCTTATTTCTTCCCCAGGTTTGTTTGCTGAGTTTTCATCTTTGTATAACTTTCAAGTCAAACACTCAGAGAGCAAAGCAGAGCAAGGAGCAACACAAAGGCCACCATGCTGAAACACCTGAAATCCATCTGACTAATTAAGGAAATCATTATATAGATCTTAACAGGTCTTTTTTATGAGCCTTTTAAACTACCCTATAACATTTTTTTCTGGTCCACATATAAAAATTAAATACTGTGCTTTTTGGAGTAGCAGAGATTGTTCACTGAGACAGGAAAAGGCAACATCTTTCCCATAAGATGCCCATTCTCCATACCGTTTACTTTGTAGGGTAATGTACAAAATGCAGAAAATACTTCCTTGTTAACTTCTACACCTGCAACCTTTGTTAAGGCCACATGCAAGTTTGCTTTCCCCAAAATCAACTTAGTTTCCTGTTCTGAAATGAGTCACCATCACTTTAAAGGCTCAGTACTAGAAATATGGAGAATCCTCTTATCAGTAGTGAACAAGATCAGAACCTCATTTTCCTGCTATAGCCCTTAAAACTGCACAAAAGGAAAAGAAAATTTATTATTTGCTCTGCAAAAGGCATTTGTGGGTATTGAGCTTGCAAACAGAGGGTGAACACATTCAAGTGTTTCTGTGTCCTAACTGTAAATGGTTATACTAGAAATGTACACCTGTAAAGGTGGTAAGATTTTGAGGTTGTGTATAAACCAGACAATATCCTGAACTGCAAGAAATAAATTCACATATTATGGTCCTTCTCACAATCAAGGACAGCCAACTGTAGAGCCTGGGCAAGTCATAATGTCTCCTCACAAAAAAAAGTTCCTCAATATTTCAGCCTTTTCATTCAGCTGTAATCTCAGTACATGGAATATATAACACCCTACTTCATAAATGGGCATGTCCTGAAGGTGCAGTTTGGTGCTGAATCTCAAGTGGTCTCTGCAGCTCCTCTTTCTTTGGACACACACAACAAAACCAGTGCTTCCTTTAAACCTGAGAAAGCCCATAAAAGGGCAAGGCCTTGTATTTTTCATATTGAAGATCTTGGACTTTGTTCTGCCTGGTGCCCAGTCTGTGCCCATGCAGGAGAATTTAACAGTCTCACTTCTAGAGTTCACACTTCTCCTCAGGTCAGAAATGAGGCACCTCAGATGCTTCACTGCTTTACTGGTATTCCCCATCTGCAGCTATGCAGGAAAGTTCTGGTTCTAAAAAGTCAATACCATGTCATTATGAGCACTGCACTTTTATGAAGTGGGAAATAAGAAGGACAAATGTTACTCCTGTTCATGAATTTGCTTCTTATCATTTCTCCTCTCTGTTCTGTGGAGAGTGATTTGATTCACACTGGGGGTTATTTGGGTCAGTTTTACTTGGGGAGAGAAAATAATGGTAACCTCATTTGAGATTTATGACAATTTAAGTAAGAAAATGGATTCTGAATATTTTTACATAGCTGCTGAGTTTAACTGAGGGTTCAGTGAAGAATGAGCTTCCAAATGTGAATAAGAGGCTTTATCCATTTTCCCCTGTTTGTTTTTAAACTCCATTTGCTATTTATGATTACCAATTTTGTGTCATTTATATGCAGTGTACTGAAACTGAGTTCAATAAACTAACCTTCTTTGATTTATTAAGCTAAACTTGGTATTTAATTATTATGCATGCAAAGTCAAGTAGAAAAAGTAAAGAGCATTTATAAATAAAATCATTGTGACATATTTGCAGCAAACAGGAATATCTGTCTTTATGACTTTTCATAAGAAATTTATTACTGCTTATTTTAAATTGGAATAAACACAAAAAAAAAACATAGAACATCTGTATCAAAGTGTAAAGAACCACAACAATCAAAATCTGTTTAATCTCCTCCATTTAGTTCAAGTGCACAGTCTGTTCTGTGTAACTTTTTATAACATACTGTGAAAGAAAACAGGTCATTTAAACTCAGTAATTAGTATTATAGATAAAATGACACTGCAGCATATTACCATAATATTAATTATGGTAATACTTAGTATTAATTACCATGATACTGATGTAGTATAGGATATAATACATAATAGGCAATATCTTTAATTTTACATTGAAGTACAACAAAGCATATTGTTGCTACACTTCTGCTTCTCAAATTAAATGAATGTTATTCAAGTGTACATTTGTATCCATGCAGAATGTTTTTAAATAAATAATAACTCTAATTCAAATTGGTATATTTGACTTTCTAATGGCATAAATTAAAGAACTTCTTGATCTACAAACTTTTTCTAAGACAGTGCAAATAATAACAGAATTATATTCCATATGAAAAATTTGTGCAATCATTTTTCATTACAACAGCTGTAAATCAGTTTGCAAATAAAGCACAACATCCAGCCTTTTAAAAAATAAAGATGAATCTTAAGGAGATATTTGATGTGTAGTAGGAACTAGGCATATATAATCAAATTGGAATTAATTCTGTACTCCTCTGGCTAAAAGACCTGACAATTGTACACATAAAATATTTATAACAAAACAAAGAGACTTGCATGGGATGACAGTGAAAGTTTTTATCTGCAGCTCCGGGAGGCATAGAGTTCCCTGTTAATGAAAAATTGCATCTCAGCTTTTTGCAGCACCTTTACTTTTGGGTAACTGTTATAAATATTAAAAGAAGGGGGGGAAAATTAAATTTCAGATTTGTTCAAGTGTACTTTAATAATTTATGTCAGCTGAAATGTTCCCATTTCCTGTGCAGAAATTTTCAAATGAAGCCATTATTCAGACCTGGCAAGAAAAGTACTCTAAAAACCTACTTAATTAGAAGTGCAACAGTCCTATTCACCACGTCAGCCCAAGGCTAAAATGTGTACATAGGGTTTTAGCAAAATATTTGAATAAACAACGTAAGGTTCAAAGCAGAAATTGAAGTGTGACCCGAGGTTGGTTGTTTCATCTCACAACCACAAGATGCGTCGCTGTATTTGAGTGAAGGTGTGTAAAGAGCAAAGTCTCCAATCAGTTTGCTAGATTTGCAGATTATTTTGAAAAAATCTTTTTTTTTTTGTCTCCTCTCCGCTTTGTTTAGGTCAGTGGGACAATGTACAACACAGGGAGACACGTGTCCCTCCGGTTAGACAAGGAGCACCTGGTGAACATCTCCGGGGGCCCAATGACCTACAGTCACCGCCTGGAGGAAATCCGGTTACACTTTGGCAGCGAGGACAGCCAGGGGTCAGAGCACCTCCTCAATGGCCAGGCCTTTTCTGGAGAGGTATGTCACCACAGGAATTACCCACCTCTTATTTCTGCCCGAAGGTATTTGCAAGTTAATCTGTAAAAATTGTTTTCCTGTAGCCATTCTGAAAATTAGGGAATTGGGTTTTTTTTCTTTTTAACCAAGCACTGCAAATTTTGTGACTCATATCTGCAAATGACACTGCTGTGTTTATTGTATATCTGTGCTACTTACAAACTAACCAGGTCTCTTTGGATGGGGCCTTTATGTCTCTTGTAAAGGCAAATATGAGATTAACTACAAAGTAATGCTGGAAGTACTTCAAATTCCCACAGAAGTGCTACTTCTGCTTCTCATTGATGTGTAACACTTCGCATTGAGTACCATCCTGCCTTTGATTCATGCAGAAACAAGGTGATACTTAATTCTGGAGATGACTCCACAGAATTCTGCTCAAGAAACAAAGTTAACTGCATACATAGTCCCTGGCGGAATGGCAATGTTTTATGTTAAACACGTCTATATTATGTATTTCCTGTTCCAAGAAAGACCATAATTTCTTGATCCTGATACCTATTCTAGAATGGCCCGTTATTCTTGCTGGATAAATATTTTAGTGGCTTAGATGGAGCCCTTTTTCAAGATTTACAATAAAGTTGGCAGACTTTCTGGGACAAACAAAATGGGATCCTTCCATTTTCCTTCTATAGGAACATTCTCATATAAAAGAGATGCATGAGGTTTGCAGCACCCCATCCTCCTCCAGCTTGGGCCATGGCTGTGAACTATGCAGTGTCCAACCCTACAACTCAAAATAATGCTTCACAGTAACTCTGTGTTACTTTAGAGATTATTTTTAAAGCCACTCTGTTACCATTTTTTCAGAATACCAAAAAAAGAACAGCTTTTTTATCATAAAGCACTTATTTTCTCAGAGATGAGTAATCAAATTAACATCTGTACTATGCATCACAGACTGGTGATGAGTCACTTAATGTGTGGCATTTTCTTTGGCACTGAGCAACAGCAGTTATTTAGGAGTAAGAAATTAATTGCAGCATTGTTGCATGATGATGTTATAATTGATGGTAATCATTGGCTTTGTTTTATAAGCTACATATGACCTGTGGCAGCTTTTTTGTGGAATTACTAATGTCTTATGCAACTGATTTTGGTTGCCTTTGTTCAATTCTATAAGTGAACTCATCATGTATTGCTCTTTTAAGCTCTGAAAGTAAAGGATGCTGTAGCAAACAAGGTCTTTGCTGTTCAGACACATGAGAGTAATATTCAAACTAAAAAAGTTAACTGAACATGAAAGCAAAAATCTGGTTGAAACATACCATGGGACTTCTAATGTATCACCACCACTTCAGATGCTTTAAAAAGAGTTTTTAAGTTTTTAATTCATCAGTCCTAGTCTATAACAATGTAAAAATGTAGAGCATTGTTTGGCAATACTTAATACCTAGGCTCTTCTAGTTTTGAAAGTTGGAGTTCTGAAGTACTATTAATATTTGGTGTTTTTTAACAGAGACCTCAACTTTTCTTACTAAGAGCAGAAAACTGAGCTTAGTGGAAACTGATGTCAGTCAGTCAGGCACAGCTGGATCTGCAGTGTGTGCAGGATTCATCTTGTTGTCTGAATCCTCCTGCAGTGAATAGAAAGAGCTCAGCACCTTCAAAGGATTAATCAGTCCTGACAGCCAGAGCTGAGTCTCTTAGGACAAGGCAAATCACTCTGTGGAGATGCATTTCCCTTGACAACAGAGAACAGACAAACAGCAGGCAGAAGAGTTGAGATTCAAGGACTCCTTTTCAGATACTGGGATGAATTCTGTCCTTTGAAGGTGTGTTTTTCAATGTTTTGGGCAAGTGAACTCCAGCAAGGTCAAGCATTAATTACTAATTTGAGCCTAAATCTGCACAGTTAAGTCTTACTTCTAGAACATGCTATTCCAAACGATAGGCCCAGATGCAAATCAGTGGTGCTGAATGGCTGCAGATTTCCAGGGAAGGGCAGCAGCTGATGGAGTTCTTTGAGTGTCCATCCGCCCATGCAAGTGCTGCTTGTATAAATGAGGGCTCTTCCACAAGCTCTCAGCACTGAGGGATGTAACATCTTCATCTCTCAGCAGTGAGAGGGGGAATGCTGTCTGTAAACAAGCCAGCTGACTTCCTGGGAGAGTGTCTTGGTGATGTCACGGGTACTTTCAAGGCTTGATGTTAATTACTATTCACTCCTGCCTCCTTAGATAATGCTGTCAGTGGAGATGGGATAAAGAAAAATAACTGCCTAGGTTCATTAGTCTAATTTAGCTGGTGCAGGTAAGAATAGCAATGAATATTTGCTGGCTTAGGCTTTAGGAACCAGGGAAAAATCATTGCAGGACTGCATTGTATGACTGCTAATTGCAGACTGAGCTGCCAGCGCTGGCCCTGATACTGCTGGTCTCAGCTGTGTTGGATGAACCCTCTGTGGGCTTTCCAGAAACCTCTGTTTAACTGGGGAAACAATTCCCAAATTACCCAAGAAGGATGATTGTGCTGGTTTTGCATTAATTGAGTTTTGCTGAGGAGGGAATGAGCCCAGGCATGCCAGTGATGTTCTAAGAGAAGCTGTTAAGAGCTTCCTCCCTGCCTGGCAAAAACCAATTGCTGGCTGGCTCTGAGAATACCCATGCTGATAAGCCAAATAAAGAGTAAAACACGCCCCTGTGAGATGCACATTTTAAAATGAACAGAGCCCAGGATTTTATTTTTTTTTTAGCTTCTGCCCTGAGTACAGGCAACAAGCCAGCCCAGCCCCTCCACGCAGTCCCGAGAGGGCCAGGGCCTGCTCCGATGTAGCGCTGGCAGAGCCGGGTCCCGTTTCCCTCAGAGCGGCCAGGCAGGCCCGCAGTTTGGCTGAAATTCTGCTGAGTTTCGCCAGAAACCGCTGGGGAGAGGAAGCCATTGGCCCACCGGGGCAACCTCTGAGTTCTAGCCTGGCTGCCGAGATCCTAGCAGGCCATCCCTCCCCTCCCAGAGCAGCCGCCGTTGTTCTGGCCCGCGGCCCTGCCATCCTGGCCCAGCCCCTCCAGCGAAGCCCGAAATACTCCACCTCAACTGCCCCAGCCACTGCCCGGGCAAGATAGTAACCTTTTTAGTGCACAGATGAAACCTACAAACATCAAATCTTTCTCTTGAGTGAAAGAAATGCAAAGAGTGAAGATACAGAGAGAACAACATGAGACATGAAGGTCATAAAGAAGTAGTCAAGTCCCAGATAGGAGGGGTTGAGGAGATGCCTTAGTCCTGGGCTGAAATCCTCTTGTAAGGCTATGGAGAAGGTATAATTGGTATATCAGACTCCTTTTCCCTCTAACTCATTGAAAAGCATGGGGGCATGAAGCATTCAAATTGTAGATAGGCATCTATGCTAAAGCAAGCAGATGTTGAAGTAGCTGTGATCCCATGTGAAGTTTGAACACAGAGAGAGAAATAAGAGTGAAGACCCTTTGCCCCCATAGAAAGAAGAAGACCTCTGTTCCCAGAGATGATCTCAGAGATAGATAAAGAGAACCTTTGCTTTTGAACAGCTCATCCTTAAAATAGTACCCCCTAAGTTGACATGGCCCATAAACGCAGCTGTGGGAAGGCTGCAAAAGATGGGAGTGACTTCATGATTGCAGATTTCTGGGTGGCTGCTATTCGTGGAAATTAAAAGCCATGACAGAACAGTTTTCTTGTGAAGAAGTCTCCATAGCATAGTCTCCATAGCAAGAGAGACTTCTATCCCTAAGTGAACTGAAGAAAGACTATTCTAGAAGTGATAAACTGACTGAATTGTTTCTGTATGTTGTCAGTGGGAGGGGGGGAGTGAGAAGAAGTGTTCTGAAGGGTTTAGTCTGATTCTTATTATTCTTTTAGTTCTGATAATAAAGTTTTTCTTTATACCCTTTAAAGTTTAAGCCTGCTTTGCTCTTCTCCTAATCCTGTCACGTAGCAGAAAATAAGTAAGTAGAATATGCGTAGCATTCGGCCAGCATTAGATCCGCCACATTTATCTATTCCATTAGATCACAATCAGAATTATTCCTGCTGCTTCTTTCCTCCATTCTCATCCAGTCTGCCCCCTCATTTTCACTGAGGTCTCCAAGTCATATTAGAATCAAGACACTGCAGAGAGACAGGAGGCACTGGGGAGAGGACAGGGGACAAGACAGCACCTCTCCCTCCTAGCACTGCAAGACTTAGATTGGCTCAGGCCTAAATTAAATCCATGTCCAGACAAAGCAGAAGCTTTTAAACAGCCCCAGTCCACCTTGAACCACCTTTTAATGTTCTTTACACATCTGGAAATCCTACTGACATCCACACTAAAGAAATGGTTTATTTTAGGGACCTTTATTGCCTAGTTCTGCAAGTGGACAGGCACTCAGAGCAAGTTGAAGAGCACTGGAGTAGTAACATAGGATGAAAAACAGCCTAGAAATAGCAGAATGCTTCAGAACGTGCTATGGACTGAATGATACAGAGAGGCTTGTAATTTCCAGGCTTTAGCTTATAACTAGGTGTTAAAGGCAGTCAAAAGAGATCTCTACAATAATCTGGTTACTTTTTAGCCCCCAATTATCACTTTAGTAGACAGAATAATTGAAGTAATGTTTAAATAGTTCAAGTTTAAGGGCTTCAAAACTGTGTATCAGATTTAGCAATATGTTTGGCACTGGTAACATGGAAAGGTAGGCAGGCTTTGGAACGCTTAAATAAATAAATGGAGTATTTACTTGTACCTATGATATGGACTCAAGTGAGTTTAATTCCCTGTTCTTTGCAGGAGCATCCTACTGTATTACAATGATTAAGAGAAAATCTTGGCTTAGGCAAAGTCTCTGACTAAGACACCAGTCATTTGTGTCTGCTGCCTAATGCCTCTATGCAAAACAGGTTTTAAAACTTCAGAGTCTGTATCATTTAATGAAAAAGCCCATTTTCCATTTAATCAGCAGAATTGGCCTGAGTGCCATAGCTCAGGCACTGTCTGCCTTGTT